CCTGATAAAATTGTTACGTTGTATCTGTTCTGAGTGAGTTCTTTAATGAGAGATATCCTTGATTCCTTAGGATAATGCGCAATCCATTGAAAGAATTCATGAATTATTCGAAAAAGTATCACGTGTTTATCCTTGATGATAATTAAAATTGTTCACATGAAAAATATTCGCAGATTATTGCACTTTACGAAAAGGTGAAATACTGAAATGATGCAATTCATGCATGAATGACAATGACCTTTTATTCATTTTTCACAATCTGGATCGAAACGATTGGGGAGAATAAATTTTTAAAGCGCGTTCCACAACGAAATCCACGGTGACTTGCACTTGTGTCGAAATGCATTCTTGCGCAACACATCCATTCCATAATGAATGAGAAACTATTGACAGTGCACGTTAGATAAGTTGAAGTTAGAATAATATAGAATCATCAGAATCAGTTTAGTAATCAAATACTTTTATCTAAATACAATTGTAACAGCAAAATTCAGTTCAGATAAGATGTCGCCTTGGCAAAATATATCAATTCATATTTCTCGGAAGTGTCGCTGAGCTGAATGGACAAAAGTTATACGGCTATTTCACTGTATGTGTTAGTAGCCGCAGTCGCAGTAAGTACGATGCCTGGGTGATGCTATGTGCAAGTGAGTCACTACTCACTACCAGTATAAATCGGACTTAAAACTCGTGCGTCCGAGCTAACAAGCATATAAGAGTAGTGGTGTAACAGATGGCAGTAAACGAACAGGATTAGGCGTCAGTGTCAGTACTAAAGACAGTAAGCTCCAGGCTCTTGACATTTTTACACGCGAGAGATCTTTCGAGTGTTATATAGGGCAACGACCAGGCCAGGGATAGGCACATAGGCATCGTAATATACTCGTTTTGCAGCAAATTTTCGATACGGTTAAGAGGAACGATGGCACCAATTGGTAAGTCAAGCTCGTGAAACAAGTCCCGGCGTATATTGCGTAATATTCAATACGAATTACACGACTTGTGATCTACATCTTACCTTCGCTTTATTCGCGTCGCGGCAAGTCGCAAAAATATTCTCCGGCGGTTGCGATTGCTTCACTAGATGTTTCACCAGGCCCAGTCCAAGCCCGCGGTTGCAACCAGTGATTAAGATCGACTTCATTTCGTATCCTCCAGATGTAATATATTCGTATCGTTCCACGTATTTCCTCGCGAATCTCTACGTACGTTGTGGCTTGGTTATTCACAATTTTATCGGTTACGAGACACGAGTGTCATCGGGGTGACGTCACGTGGCCGTGATCGGGTGGCAATAATCATGGCGATGTTAACGCTACTTACGAAGCTTGTGTCATTCCGTTCCGCACACGCCAAATTGTTCGAGTACCCATGGTCCAGATGTAATGCTATCCCTTACGGCAGAACCGCCATGGCCTGTATGTGCAGTGAGTGCCAGGTTTCAATAACATTTTTTTTAATCGACGAGATCGTGGCGCAATTTCTTTGAAATTACATAAAACATCAATATTTTGACAACCTGTGGTTAGACCGAATAGGTTAAAAATAACTGAGATCGAATATAATGGCACTGTCAATTTAAATGACTCGCTGCTTGAAAGCTGGATCGATAGACACGTGCAACGCCGGAAGGCATTTCGTTTCCCTGTTATCGGGATTACTTTAATCGACGAGATAAGAAAAACATTACATAACCCTACTGTCGTAATCTACATTCGCTCCACCAAGTCAGATTTTAAACAATTTTATATATTTTTCACGCGTTACGTTTGTTACAGCTGAGCATAAATTTATGTACGACCTGATCGTCCTTGGTGGCGGATCAGGCGGCCTGGCAGCTGCCAAAGAAGCAGTCAATTATGGTGCAAAAGTCGCAGTTTTTGATTTCGTCTCACCATCCCCGCAGGGTACGTCCTGGGGTTTAGGTGGTACTTGCGTGAACGTTGGTTGCATACCAAAGAAATTGATGCATCAAGCTGCCCTGCTAGGAGAAGCTATCCATGTTAGTTTCTAATTTCACGATGAAGTCATCTGTGCATATTTCCGAAAGAACTTTTGACGATGCAACATTTTTATTTATTAGGAATCGGCAGCGTATGGTTGGCAAATAGATCCGGAAACTGTTAAAATTAGTTGGGAGGCGTTAAGAACGGCAGTACAAAATCATGTGAAGTCTGTAAATTGGGTCACACGCGTTGAACTTAGGACTAAGTTAGTATTTATAACTCTTTCACTTTCTCTTTTTTAGATACGAGATCGCTGTCAAGATCACTTTCTAATCATGTTCACTGTTACAGGAAAGTTGAGTATATAAATGCACTTGGTTATTTCAAGGATAAACACACAATAATGGGAGTAATGAAGACTGGACAAGAGAAGGAATTCACGGCACAACATATTTTGATCGCTGTGGGTGGTAGGCCGAGGTATCCAAATATTCCTGGAGCCTTAGAATATGCTATAACCAGTGACGATATCTTTAGCTTGGAGAAACCTCCAGGGAAAACGCTTGTTATTGGCGCAGGATGTATCCTTCTTAAAATTGTTTGATATACATTGAAAATTTCCTCTTTAAATTATTCTATGCGGCTTAATTTTCCTTAATGGATAAACAGATATCGGTTTAGAGTGCGCTGGCTTCTTGAACGGTTTAGGTTTCGAAGCGACTTTAATGGTGCGGTCGATCATTTTACGAGGATTCGACCATCACATGGCAAATAGTATCGCGGACGATATGCAAAAACGCGGCGTCAAAATTCTATTCGAAGCTCAGGCAACGAAAATTGAAAAGCAAAAGGACGGTCGCCTTCTCGTCCATTATAAGAATAAAGTATGTTTCACAGTCTTTAATTACATTTCCTGATGTGTGTATCCCAATTGTGATTAAATATCTTGTCCCTTTTAGGATGGACAGGCGCTTACCGACACTTTCGATACTGTCCTCATCGCTGTCGGTCGCAGACCGCTCACTAGGGAACTGAAACCAGAGAACATCGGTCTTAAACTCATTCCTGAAACTGACAAAGTAGACGCAGTGAACGAAGAATCGAACGTACCGAACGTGTACGCCGTTGGTGATGTGCTTAGTGTAAGTTATCAAAATCCACGTAATTATAACGTAACCATAATAACCGAAGGATTAGTACTACGAGGAGACACTTATGTACGCGTTATGCATTACAGGGAAAACCAGAGTTAACGCCGGTCGCCATACACGCAGGTCGGTTACTGGCGAGGCGACTGTTCGCGAACTCGACCGAGCAGATGGATTACGTGAACGTGGCAACGACGGTGTTCAGTCCCCTAGAATACGGTTGCGTTGGCCTCAGCGAAGATGACGCGATCATTCAATACGGAGAAGACAGAATAGAAGTTTATCATGCGTATTACAAACCCACGGAATTCTTCATTCCACAAAAAGATGTTACCAATTGCTATTTGAAAGTGATCGCCCTCAGAGAGGACGATGAACGAGTGCTTGGCATGCATTTCCTTGGTCCTAACGCCGGTGAAGTGATTCAAGGGTTCGCCGCAGCTATGAAGTACGCGTTCGATTTCCTAAATCCTGTTTCTATCGATTATTTCCAATACTAATATTTATCATTCATTTTTCTACAGGTGTAATTTAACATTCCCGAAATTGAAGAGTACAGTTGGCATTCATCCGACGGTCGCAGAAGAGTTTACACGCGTAAGTGTGACTAAGCGGTCCGGACTAGATCCCAAGCCACAGAGTTGTTGCAGTTAAAACTCGCCTAAAGGCTAGACTTGTTGAATCACTGATATTTGTGAATAATTCGAAGTACGGTCGACGTGAAACGTTCCTCCTGCTTTTGTATAACTGATCATTCGAATCGGAGCTCATTGTCCGAGTTAGATATTACATAATTTAAGTTGGAAATATTTTTTTTCTACAAGCGCCGCAAACAGGAGAAAGAACACAGTATTCTTGACAAGACATTGTAAGGCAAAATGTGTGATAGGATTCGTTGTGTGCGAGATTCGTTTTCTTTCCACTCAAATGCAATCAACGTGAATTTGTATTGTTCATACTGTTGTACTTATAGTGATTTTTATGAATTCATATTTCCAAATGTCATATTCTTCTGTACACATTCAAAGGAAAATAAACAGAAATAACAATACTTGTCTCTCCCTTATTTCCTCCCAATGAAAATAAGTTATAAATAAGAAATATGTTACTAAACTTTTGCTCCTGCAATTAGTTGACTCTAATTCATAGCCAATTTCAAATGGTTTAAGTTACTTTTCTTTAAACGTCAATATGTCGATTTCGATTGATTTAGCTTCGACGTCCTCGAAACATTCGGAAGATTCTAAGTATGAAAAAAGTAGAGAGGAAACGAAACGTAAAAAAGAGGAATATGAATCCAGTCTTTGTCCTTTCGTAAGTGATACATTTTTTTTTATGACGTACATTTGACAATATAATTTCTGTACACACCTACAGAAATTATTATGGTCCTTCGGGATAAACGTCGACGTGCCCCTGATAAATTTAACTACGAAAAACCGAAGAATCATCGCTTACGCTTGTTCGCATACGACAATAATTTATAATTACGATACGAAGGAGACAGTAAATCTTCAAGGCCACGTATGTACCGTCTATTCAATTCTAATTTCTGTGTTAGCCTTTTTTCAATACATCAGTAAATGTACGATTGTACAGAAAAATATGGTAAGTACTCTATCAACATCTGCAGACGGAAAGTGGTTGGTCAGCGCAGATTTCGGGGATGATTCCGTAGTTGTCGTTTGGGACACCGAAAACGGGTAATCTTGATTAACTTGTTTTTAATATGATTCCACTCCGAAATTTTCATTAAAAACAGATTAACTGATTACAAATGCAATTATTTATAATATAAATGATTTACGCAAATCATTAAGGATGTATTGGCTATACAGTCAATCTCAAAAGTTTATTTACCTTAGAAAAACGCATTTCCTATAATTAAAAAGAAATCAGACGTCGGAAGAATAATGCTAATAATAAATAGCTACGTGCTAAAAAGTATTGA